AAAAAAAAAAGAAAAGAGAAGGCGGAGGAGGCGAAAAGAGACGGGAAAGAAGGAAGAAATAAGAAGAAAGCTTGAAGTAACAAGAGAAAATAATAAAAAGGTAAAGTTTGCAAACTTCAAGATAAATTTAATGCATAGTAAACTTCATTTTAATCAAATCATTAAAGAAATAGTCCAGTAAGAGGTCAACAACAACGATAATGATAATAACATGATGATGCCGAGATGCTAAAGATCTTTACCACCCATTTTCACCCACTCTCTTCCAACACATACACGAGAATTTAGTGCAATAGACTCTATTTTCACTTAGCCTCATCATCGAGAGGAAGGTGGACAGGGGCCGAGTGGGCGAGGGTAGAGGGGAGGGGAGATAGAGAGCCACAGACAAGGGGAGGGTCGAGCGTGCGAATGGGCAAGAAAGAAAAGGATTCGTGCAGAACAAATAGGGAAATAAGATGGCGTAGGGAAAGACACGAGAGAAAGAAATAATTGTGCTTAGAGAGGAAAATAGAAACATAGTCTACGTGGGAGAGAAAGAGGGGGGAGATAAAGAGAAAGAGTGGGAGAAAAGAGAGAGAGACGGAGAGGGGGGAGTGAGGGAGGGATGAAGAGAAAGAGAGAGGGATGGAGATAAAGAGAAACAGAGAGAGAGTGAGGGAGAAAAGAGAGAAAGAGGGAGGAGTGAGGGAGGGAGATGAAGAGAAAGAGAGAGAGGGATGGAGATAAAGAGAAAGAGAGAGAGAGTGCGGGAGAAAAGAGAGAAAGAGGGGGGGAGTGAGGGAGATAAAGAGAGAGAGGGGGGGGGAGTGAGGGAGGGAGACAAAGAGAAAGAGAGAGGGAATGAGGGAGGGAGATAAAGAGAAAGAGAGGGAGTGAGCGTGGGAGATAAAGAGAGAGAGATAAAGAGAAAAAGAGAGAAAAGGAGGGAGGGAGAGAAAGAGAGAGAGAGGAAAAACAAACAAAAATAGAAATAGAGCAAGCATACACACAGGCGCATACATTAATTGCAAATCCTAATACATACAAACCATGCCAGGCAGTACCAGTGTCATGCATTCTTCATTCCCGTCATGATATCCTGCATGAATAAAATCCCAAACGAAGGACCTTGTAAGGTTTCTGTCTGTAAGGATTCGAGAATGAAGAGAGAGAGAAAAAGAGGAAGGGAGGGAGATGAAGAGAAAGAGTGGGAGAAAAGAGAGTAAGGGAGGGAGATAAAGAGAGAGAGAGAGAGATATAAAGAGAAAACAGCGAGAGGAGGAGGGAGGGAGGGAGATAAAGAGAGAGAGAGGGAGAGGGAGGGAGGGAGATGAAGAGAGAGAGAGGGGGGAGGAGTAGTTAAAGAGAAGAGGGAGGGAGGGAGAGAGGGACATAAAGAGAAAAAGGGAGAAGAGGAAGGGAGGGAAGGAGATAAATAGAAAGAGAAAGAGAGGGAGGGAGGGAGATAAAGAGAGAGAGGAAGGGAGGGAAGGAGATAGAGACAGAGAGAGGGAGGGAGGGGGGGAGGAAGCTAAAGATTAAGAGAAAGAGAGAGAGATGAAGGGAGTGAAGGAGATAAAGAGAAAGAGAGAGAGACAGACTGACATACGAAGAGACATAAGTAGAGAGTACGAGAGAGAGGGGGAGAGATAGGGAGGGACATAAAGAGAAAGAGGGAGAAGAGAGAGAGAGAAAGGGTGTGAGAGAATAATTCAAAATGTATGATTTAGAATCAGAATTAGAATAGCATTAGAATCAATAAAACCTGCATTGTCTCCTGTAATGTTATACTTAAACGGAAGATATATTTTCTATACATCCATTATCCATGATGCTAGTAAACAATTTTACACATTACATTTTTTCCGCTGTTTACAAATCAGTTGAAATAATCAGTTATTGCGCTTATTTTGGGTATTCAATTTATCAAATATTTGCAAATTAGTTCTCGTAAATTCTTATTGCGGTCATTATTCATTCTGATGACTTTCTGAAATGATATGGTGTGAAGGATGACGGTTATAATAGGCATACTTATACACCTGATACAAAGGTTAAATAAAAATATTAATGGCAGCAACAGTGGTAATAAAGGCAGTGCTAAGAACGAAAAGAATCAGGAGATACAAACCTCATACTTGTTTTGCGTTTATTTAGACTGGCGGCAGCAGAGGTGGTGTGTCCGAGTTGTACGGTGCAGAATCCAGGATCGAAGTCACAGTTAACCTTCCTTCGGGAAACGTTAACGGCTGTTCGTTGCAGTTACTCGAGTGTCCTCCATGAAGACATCCCCCTCCCGATCATAGACCAGACAGATTTTCAGCTTCGTAGAAAGGCAAAACCAGGCCACTATCTGTACGGTGGTTCTGGCTGGCCACCTCGGTAGTGGTTGTAGTTTTGCATCTCATTCATGGTGAAAAACAATTATAGATTACTGAATATTGAGTATTCCGTGAATATTTCATTTTGTTTTATCTAATCTTTCAGTGAGTACAAGCATAATCAAAATTCTATCTGAACATGATTTGACTACAGATTAAACAAGCTGGCCTAACATTATGCAATCTGCAAAGTGGTTTCCAAGCAAAAGACAAAGTTAGATAACCAATCAATTCCTACATATTACATCGGCAAACATAATACATGTTTTGATGATGACCTTTACGTTCATGAAAAGGACAAGACAGCAAGAGGCGGGGAGACGAATCTAGACACACAAGCAGTTCCCACTGTCTCCGTATTCATCAACGATGAATGCTTGATACCGATTCATATTACTGACAATCATGGCGATGATATTTATAATCAATTAAAAAATATGATCATTATATTTGATCATAATTGCCAATCGTGGCTGTTTCACATACTACATTATCATCGGTTTCATCTTCACTGTTTGATTCCAACAGCCGTATTCTTAGACGAAATGTGGGATCCCTACTTCCCACACCACGCTGGAGTGGTATTCTTAAAAGTCTGGCGCGGAGGGGGTGAGGGGCTACACCACGCTCCAATCCCACAATTTGTTGGAACAATTGTGTAGCCCGTGACCCCCACAATCATCTCCACGTTAAAAAGAAACGTGATTATGTGGAACATAGCTTATATGGCAACTATACATTTTAATGCGATGACAAACCTCTGTAAAAGAAAAAAAAAATGAGCGTTATCATTTTTCGCCTCCCAACATTGAGTTTTTTTTTCAAAGAGTAACTCTACCTCACGGAGTATTGGAACATCAAAACTTGCCGCAGAACCTTCTCATCTTATATTTCACATCTTCAGGTATGTTTAGGTTACATGTGTTTTAACCTAAATGAGCATATTTATTAATAATATTTATATAAGAGAACCTATGGCGTAAATGCATTGATATGTATATATGGTAATGGGGTGGTGGTGGATGAGGGAGGGTAGGGGTGATAGTAGCCGCAGGGTTGGGCATTTGGTGTGGATGTATATGGTAGGAGGGTCTGGGTGTGATAGATTTGAAGGTAGAATGTATGCAAGTAGAGTATGGAAGTGGTAGCGTGAAGAGCCCCGGTTGTATTGGGTTCGCGCTGTGCAGTACTAGAGAGAAGTGAAGGTAGATATCTAAAGGTAGAATATGGAAATCATGCTTGCAAGGGTAAATGAATGCAAGTAGACCATCGGAGTGATTAGTGAAAGGGTAGATACCTGCCAGTAGAATACGAAACTAATCGTAGGTTAGATATATGCAGATAGTGTTACCAGTAAAGTATGGTGACAGCAGTTGGTACACGCTCTGCCCCTCCTTTTAAATGGTGCTATTTTAGAATATGGAAGAGGTAGAGGTCGAGGGAAGAGAAATGCTAGTAGGGCGCGGAGGCGGAGAGTGGTAGATTGTAGACTTGTTATTCCGATTGATATATATTGATGAGACCGTTATTTTCATTACAAACGAAAAGAGAGGTTTAGACACAGTACAGAGAGAAAATTGTGTGTATATATGTACACGTGTGATATACATAGGCTACATACATACTCACACACACATACTCATACACATACACGCACACTCGAACAAATACACACGCATTCATACCAACCTTCTCGAGTCACAGCAGCACCAGGTCGCAGGGTTACCAATCCCATCCCACAACACACTTGGCGTTTAAGAATACCAAAAAAATTGTGCCCCAACCGTGGCATGGGACATTCCCTTGTTTGTGTGTTTTGATGTGGGATTGATTAAGAGTATGGCCCCAAGATATTTAAATAAATAGTTAATGAGTTAATTCTTGTGTTGCTTGAAGATTCGCTAAATATCAAGAAGTAGAAAGAGTGTTTAATATGATAATGGAATGGTGATTATATGTTTTGATAGTATATTGTTTATCTTATCAATCCTAATCAAATAATATAAGATGTAAAAATACGGTTATTTAAGATGGATATTTAGAATATACTGATGGATTTATCAAGTAACACGATTTACAGAGTGATATATATGTATGTGTGTGTAGGTGTTATGCCGTATGATTTCATACCAAAAGAAAATGGGAGTTCATTGTTTTGCTTTCGTAGGAATTTCACAGCGATGGTGGGAAAATCACTGAACTACACCTGCGATCGTTTGACGGTAGTTTAAGTCTTTCGCTATTCCCATTCATTCATTCATTCGTTGTACTCGTGTTTATTTATCAGTATTTACTTAATCTGGTTTAATCATCCTGGTAGTTTTCTATATTACCTTCGCCGCTCCGATATCGACGATTTTGGTATCGTTGGATTCCTCTCACTGTCCACATTGCAAATATATAGTTTTTATTACGCGGAAACTCCCCGTTAGCGACAAACTTGGCCCGGATAGCAAGGGAGGGCATGAAAGGTTCCAGGGAAAATGCGGGGTTAAATGACACTAATAATATAACCCACAGGGAAAATAACCATGGTTATTCACATGACTTTCCATTGCAACCCCCGCCGAAGAAACAAAACCACCACGTATTCCCGGCAGGCTAGAGCATTACACAGTTATCGTCGATCTCGGAGCG